ACAGCTAGCATAATCTACATGTCAAGTTCGAGCTCCAGGCCATTGAGTGCCTATGGCTAAAAATTGTATTATGGTTGGTCCCTGACTCCTGAAGAACAATGCCCAAGCTTGACCTGTGGCCTCCACATGCATATACACATATGTGCAGAGGAAGAAAGAGACAGAGACAGAGAGAGACAGAGAGACAGAGACATAGACAGAGAGAGAGACAGAGAGACAGAGAGAGAGACAGAAAGAGCATATGACCCACAGGACAAACAAGAGAAAGCAAGCTGGTACTGACTTCAAAGTTTCATCTACTGGCTAGCTTTCTCATTGGAAGGTGCTATTATGCTACCAGAAGAGAAAATTAATCATCAACCTTACCCAGCTGTGAATGCTATGTGCTTCAACAATAACTGCCTGGCAAGATATGCCCTCTGGTGCCATAATGGCATGACTATTATAGGAGTAACCAACCACTTTCTAATTGGCTTTAAGGCCTGCTTCATAAGGTGAAGCCCATACCTGACATGGATATCAGGCCTAGGAACCTGTGGCTATACAGGACACTGGCCAGAAGAGAAAGCCTAATACTATTATTCTGCTAATTTGATGTGGTATTAAAGTAACTCCTAATGACTTAATTTAATACCCATAGATTAATGCCTCTCTCAGTTCTCACCAGAAGAACTTCTTTATACAGTAGATAGTAATCAACACAGAAACCCACAACTGGCCAATGTGCAGAGAATAAGACACTGCAGAGTGCTTATCACTGAATAGGACACCTATATCACACTTGTGCTTCCCAAAGCTCAGGGATAATTGTAGAAGAAGGAGTAGACGGTCAGAAGAGCTGGTGCATTACCACAAGGAAACAGAGTCTTCCTGACAGCTGCGAAGTTACTCATATGACCTTACCAATGGTGACAGCATGCATGAATTCCATGTAAGCTCCAGGCAAAAATCCATAGATATGGGAAGGTGAGTGGAAAAACCCTAACCCTACCTGAAGAACTATTAGCAGCGGATAGCTGCTGAGATGGGAGAGTCAGTCTCTTTTAAGGGTGTGACTCTTGGTAGGTTAACCAGACTCTAGTGGACCCACACTGAAAGACATTTAGGGACACAAATTGGATTTGATAGGCCTTAATGTGTGTGTGTGTGTGTGTGTGTGTGTCTGTTATAATAGAGTGCATGAAATTGGACAGGAGATAGTAAACGGGGTACAGATAGGGGAGGGGATCCAAATATGATACAATTGATATGATCAAAATATATTGTATGAAATCTGCATAAATTGAATTATAAAGGGAAAAAAGATTATATGACCATTGTTAATTTACTGGCATTTCCTCAATGATTCTCAGTGTCCAGCACAGAAATGATAGGATTATACTTGACAGATTCAGTGTGATGAATGTCTTAGGCCAGGTAGACACCAGGTTCTCAGGGAGTGCAGAGGACTATCTCCTTACATGGCTTAGAGGCAAAGTAGCTGAACACCATGGAATAGCAGAAGGTAAGGGAAGCAGCAGGACATGTGCTGCTGCAGTGAACAGCCATAGGCCCTTCCCCAGGACTGGCCAGTGGCCACAGGAAATGAGAAGATCAGACATTTGAGTCTTGGCCATTTAAGTCTTGGCCAACCCTTAGACAATCTTTGCAAAGTGATTTTCTTTTTCTGTGCCTTGCAAAGCTAGAACCGGAAGTCTAGTCGGAGTGCTGCTCTCCCTTGAGTTTGGCCATGCAACCCATTGTCACACCCACAAAGCCATTTGTCCTGGTGTAGTTCACATGGGCCAGAAACTTTTCTTTCAGTAGCCAACATTTTCCTACTGAGTCTTTTTTGTGGTATTTTCACAATTTTCTCATCTATTTGTGCTAACAGACTCTGCTCTCTGAGCTACACTGTGGATGCCCATTGATTTCCCCCTTTTCTCTTGTTGAATTGGGAAAAGTAGAGTAAAAGCCTCAAGATTATATATTGCACATACTATTTTTTCCTTAATTCCAAATAACATCTTCCCTGGAGTTGTAATAAAGAAATTTTGAGCAGGAAGAAGAGGACTAATTTTCAATGTTCCTCTCAGATTTAATCTTATATTGACAATCCCTATACTTTACCTGAAACTGCTCAAAATTGGTAAGGCTGTTAAACTTTAATGGTGGTTCATAATGGCTTTCTGCAGCCACATTTCTGTTTCCTTTCAGTAACTAGGAGAAAATAGGGACATAAATTGTTTTATGTTAAAATTGTTCTTACTCAGTCCACACTGGCAAATATGTTGAGCATTTTCAGAGCATCTCAATCAGTGGAAACAGTCACCTCTATTTCTGCTGGCATTTTATTGCTTCTGTGTGCTTCTACTGTCTGAATCTTTGTTTTAAATGTCATCTTCTTGCATAAGTTCCTTGATATTATAAGCTTACCCAGAGTCCTTAAGAAAAGAATCAACTTCATACACATTAAGGATAACAACAGAAAATAGTCCCTTGTTAAAGCCTTGGTCTCAAGCAAGAGGACATGAAAAATTATAGGAAAATAAAAGGTTTATCACCCAAGAACATTTTGGAAACAGATTAGACTCTACAAGCCCTAAAGAAGAAAAGGTAGACAGTAACAGAGCATGTGACGTTGGAAAGGGGTATTAAGGTGGGAGAGGGGGGATTCTGAAATGATCAGAATACATTGTGTGAAATCTTTGAATCAATAAAAATGTAAAAATATTTTTCAAAAATTTTTCAAGAGTGCAATCTGATAAGTAATCTTGTTCTATTATGTTTCCACCTCAAGATTTTCTTTAACTGGTGGCCTTCATTTCCTTCTCTATAAAAGGTCATTATTGACATCCACCCTCATCACCGCATCCCCACCTTTCTATCTAATGAGTTAAGAGATTCCCTTAGCTAAACGTGCTTTATAAAGCCAGCTATTGTGGCAATGACTTTCAGATATAAAATATGAATCTTAAAATGATGTGTTTTTACCTCATGTTCTCATTTGTGTGTAGAAGGTTAAAAGTCAATGACATAAACGTACAGAATAGAATAGCTTAGGAAGGAGATTGGAGAGGGACAGATTTTTTCTACTGACTAGGAGCAAACTTCTTATGTTCAATGGCATATTAAGATAACTGTGGCTGAAAACAATGTGTACGGAGGGATGTAGACACATACTGTGGCATTCATGTAGAGGTTAGAGGACAGCTTTCAGGAGTTAGTTTTCTCCTACCTTGTTTTAAGGCAGGTTCTCTCTTAGTTCTGTCTCTGTACCAAGTGCTCAAGCTAGCTGGTCTTGGAGTTTCTGGAAAATTCTCCTGTCTCCACCTTCCTTCCTACTTCAAGAATGCTGGGATTCCAGATGCCCACCACTGCATCAGGATTTTTTACATTGGTTCCAGCAATAGAACGCAGATCATCAGGCTTGTGTCTGCAATGCCTTTATCCTCTGAGCCATGTCCCCAGAGGGGATATGTATTTAAATGCCCCACTGTAGCCCATAAAATGTAAGCCAATTAATTATGTCAAGTAAGCATAGATTTAAAAATATATCTAAAAAGTAAAAAGGAGAGTCAGCCAGTGCATAAAGTTATGTTATGCATGAAGACTACTCTACATCGTAACTGTGTGGTAGATATTCACCAAACAGGACTCTGCTGTCTTCTCTCAGGTTTTCTTCCAGGTCTCTTTATTTCTCACTATCTGCATTTGCAGCAACTTCCTGCCGTGCATTCCTGCTTTGGCTCTGCATGCATTGGTTGGTGTTCCTTCATGTTCACCTTCCTCCTGCATGCACAGAACACAGACATAATGAGGTCCACCCGATTATTCCAATCCCCTTCTCAGTTTAGTCATTTGGTCACAAGCACATTAGAATTGTACATTTTCTTGTGGTTTGAACATATGTTGGTGGATATTGGTTTGTAGTCCATAATAATTTAACTCCTTTGTGGAAGTAGCAGTTACTGATGTCCTACTGTCTATCGGTTTTATGAATTACAACCTATATCACACTCATTTCACAAACAACCTTAACTTGAAGCATATTTTTATTTTCCCCCACAAAATATTATTGAACAAATGTTTTGGTTCTATATTGATGAAGATGGTACCTAAAATGTCTTAAGAACCCATCATATACCATTCTAAGACTTTATGGAAATGGTCATTTAATCCTCAAAGCATTAGGAGGTGTGTACACAAAGCTCACCAAGTCCAAAGGTACAATGTTATCAGTTAGATATCTAGGACTTGGTCCAGAGTGGCTGGTTTGACTCCTCTTCCCCTGAATACTATTATACATCCTTGGATAAATAGTTTCACCCTCACCATCTCATTGTGTAGAGAGAACAAAACATGCCTTTTCCCTGTACAGTATTCCAGGTTCTCTTAAGTCAGGTGTTTAATAGCCTGGGCACCTTAAACTTCATTTTCATTACCAAGAATATTTTCAATGAGATAACACTCCCTATAGTTACAAAGCGTATCTGATGATTCACCACCTTCCATCTAAGCATCAGGAAATCTGAAGCAAGGGAACTACATCATATTAATTTCTGGAGCCTGAGGGAGTTAAGTCCCCCAGTGAGAAAGCAATTCCAAATCTAATCCAGTTCCTAGACATATTTTGTTCTGCTTCAAGGTACGGCAGTGTTTCCTAACATCCTCAGTATGTTAAGCCCCAAATGGTGAGCAAACATAAGACATTTCTTCTGTCCCATGCCTCTACTTGGTTTGAATATCCGTTTTCTTTTCCTCAATATCAGATGCCTTTCATGCCTAAAGATAGAAAACACAAAATTGCTTTGTTGGTGGAGATTTTGAAATTACCCAGTCTTGAGGTCAGAGAGACATTTATCAAAATCCTAAGAACAACAAAATGCCACATGAGATTTTAATCTTTTAGAGAGGCTCTGGTCGTGCAGAAAATGAGCATGGATAACTATTGATTGTATCTCTAAGCAATGTGATTTCAAAAGACAACAAAAACTCAGTCCGCTGTTCTGTCTTGACAGGCACGAGTATATTCACAGTCTACGAGGCTTCCTCTCAGGAAGGCTGGGTGTTCCTCATGTACAGAGCAATCGACAGTTTCCCTCGCTGGCGTTCCTACTTCTATTTCATCACTCTCATTTTCTTCCTTGCCTGGCTTGTTAAGGTACCAGAAAAAAATTAAGCCAACAAACCTACATTTTGTGATAGCTCTGTAAGCATTGTTGTTTTGCTTTGGTTTTGCTTGCTCCTAGGTGTCTTCATTCCCAGTAAATGTGGTTTGTCCTTTCCTTTCAGAATGTGTTTATTGCTGTCATCATTGAAACATTTGCAGAAATCAGAGTGCAGTTTCAACAAATGTGGGGAACTAGAAGCAGCACGACTTCCACAGCCACCACACAGGTATAGTGCCTGGGAGATGATGCAGCAAACCCCCAGACCTGCACATGCCCCATCCTCACAGCCAGTGGAGCTTGAGGGATCTCTGGTACAGTTGGACAGTTTGCATCTGGCAGGAGAGAGCAGTGTGGAAACACAGGTGCAAAGGTCCAAACCCAGAACAGTCACCCCAGACATTCTCGGTGGTGGGGTGATTGGTTAAAAGCGCCTGTAAGTAGTTTTGATACAAAACCAAAATTGTCAACTACTTTTAGTATAGAATTTTGATGTGGTTCAGAGAATACAAGTTGAGCACAAGTCCTCATGGGTCTTGCCAAGTAAGTATAGCAGCTGTGAAATTTTCCATTTTTAAGAGCATTCATTTGTGTGATTGCAAGGCTATGCCATGGACCTTATGTAGAGAATTAGAATTTTTGGAGTGGAAAATACATTTTATTCAGAGAAAAAAAATAAAAACAGTGAAAATACAATAAACTACAAAGAAGACCCACAGACCCTATTGCATACTGCTGGTTCTTGAAGAGTCACTGTATAATCAGTCCAGTTTCCATAAGGTCCCTAGAAACCAGAGATGTGCTAGAATTCAAAAACAAACAACAGTTTAGCTTGTAAGAGGCAGTTCTGAGCTCATGTCAGCTATTGTTCCTAGGTTTCTATTTTGCTGTTTAGAAACAGAAGGGCAGGCTCATATAGCTTCCAGAAAGAATCCTTCCAGAAAGGAAATTAAGACTAAGTTAAGACTAAAACAATTGAATTTCTTATTATTTAAAGATTAAATTATGAAAAGAAATTTAAATTTGTGAATGTTTGTACATATCTAGTCATATAACGGTACCTATAAAAGAAGGGTCAAAGTACAATATTTGACAACTTCTAAATTCAACTTCTAATAATTCTATGTTCTGATGCCATTAAACATATGATGCCATGAAACATAGGTTTGTGATGCTATAGTGGTAAGAATTGACCAGCCTTTGTTACAGGTGAAATAGTGTTGGTACTATTTAGCTTTGAGAAAAATGATTCAGATTTCCATGGAGAAAATTTTAGTAAGCTTTGTATGTTATGTCATAGATGTCATGTTGGAAAAGTTTCAAAGAATCAGCCATATCAAGCTCCTATTTCTTCTCTGTCCTCTTATAGCCAACAAAGCTCCAGGGCCACCCTGAGGTGACACAGCTTTTTGGCAGCCATGTTTCCTGTGATTGCAGCTTTTACATGCAGCATTGTCAGGAAAATGGCCTAAAATGTCCCTAAAATTGTACTTTGTTTATTAAGTAATTCTGACAGATAAAATATCACAGCTGGAAAAGTAATGTTTGAAAGTGCCACCAAACCAAGCTGGCATTATAATAGAAGACAAAAATGCAAAAAAATTGAACAAAGTCATACAAAATTATTTCGATGCAAAATTATACTTAATCTAGAGGCATAAGTCGGTAATTCAAGAGAGAATGCGTCTAGATATTCAGCAGTGGTAATCACACAGAGAATTTGTGAAAAACCTTCATTAAGAAAAATGCTGTGGCTGAGGACCCGGTTGCTAAGCAACCAAAGCTCCTGCAAGCAGCCGCTAGGTAAAGTAGCACTTAGGCAGCCTAGCAACAGCCCCAGGCTCCACCCACCACTCAGTTGCCACTTAACAGGAGGCCCCAGATGCTTTCTTTCATGTGTACAGAAGGGAAACAGAACATACAGCTGTTGTGTTTGTAAAATCTGACCAAATTCTGAGAGCCCGAGTTTCTCCTTCAGTAGTTTAAAACATGAAATCACAAGTTTCTAATTCTGACCAAACAGGATCTTAGGAGATGAAATCATGATGATTACTGTATGGTTCACAGCTTTTAAAACATGAAGTCCTTTCTTGCCTCTCTCTAGTATGTGGGGAATTCAAGTTCGACGTGTTTTTCTCAGTAATGGACTAAAGAGACCTTGGGAATGCTGGACTTTTTAATGTCTCTAAGTCTCAATTTCCAATGACCACCACATGGATAAAAATGTACACACATGTGCATGCATGCGGGCACACGTGTATACATCAAGAGATCAAGAGGACACCGGGTAGACTTTTGGACATTTTAGGCAATTCTTTAGGGCTCAACTATAACATTTCAGAGGTAAAAAGGAATATGTGACTGACACTTTTTCTTTAAACTATCAAAGCAGCATTCTTCAACTGTATGGGCACCGCTTAATGTCTCTGAATCACAGCCTAGAAACAAATTAAGGAAACTGCAAAGCTTGTAACAGATCATAATACGGAGTGTAACTGCAAAACAAAGGGAAAGTGGTGGTGATAATTGCAGCTTCCCAATCCTGGGTGTGCCTGAGCTCTGATAGAGTGACTGACTCCATCCTGCACAGTTCTTGATTGTGCACTTGGTGTGACATGCTCAGAGACAAACTGGGTTATAGGGCAAGAGGTTGACATTCCCATGACATAATGGCCCTCACATTGGTACACCATAGAATTGCTCATGCCACCAAGTCATTTTTAGGGGCGTGGCCCCAGCACTGGATGTTGGAATGTGCAGGTGTGTTCTAGGAAAGCTTCATGCAGTAATTACTTAATCCAGACCTGCACAGTCTTCATTATAGATACCTGCCATTACAGATACAATGAACACCCCCTTATAGATACCTGCCAGCTCCTCACCTAGGCTGTCTCATGACAGGGATAATCCTGATTTTACTTTACCCAGAGTAAAACTTAAAGAATTGTTAAGTCCACTGTGACTGCTTTCCCATTATGTGTGGTAGAAGATACAGAATAGGCATGCCATGCACACCTGATTTTGATAAAGGAACTATGGTCCAGTGGAGTCCTATGGGGTTTCAACAAACCCATTCTGCTATGTAAAGAGGTCAGTAACTCCCAAGTCTCTTATTATGTCTCTGAGCACTCTTGCTGATATGTGTTATCTGAGTTATTCTCTACTTAAGGTAAATCAGTAAGAGTAAAGTTGATGTGAGGAAAAGGCGTGGTTTTGAGTTCCTCCTCCTTTGCCATTCTGACTATGCCCAAATTAACCTTCCCAAGAATGTGCAGTGTGCAACAAAAAAAGCAGAAAGGTATAAATGAAAGACTCGTGAGCAAAAATGGAAAGAATTTCTTCACCAAAACACAAAGAAAAGAAAAAAAAATGTACAACTTAATGCTCAAAGGCAGAACTTAAGGAAAAAATTGCTTAGTGTGTTCCAAGGCCACTGACTTCCACATGAAATACACACCATTCAAATATGTGAAAAAGCAATGGAATGGATGCAGCTCTGAGAATCAAGTGTGGTGCAGTGATGAGCTCCTTCCAGTAGAAGCTCTAGGAATACAATAGTGCATTCATCATAGGAACCTGTAGGTCAAGCTAAAACTTTGTGAGACCAAGTCATTAAATGTATTCTTTATTTATTTTTTCTCTTTTGAGGGATGGGGTATTGAGATAACGTCTCACTCTGTAGTCCATGCTGGCCTTGAACTTGTAGCAATCCTTATGCCTCAGGCTCCTGAGTGCTGTTGTGCAGGTATGTGACACAGGCATGAATTAAATATGTTCCTTAGTAACAAAGTGAAGTCAGGTGTTGATTCTCATTATTCTAATGACTTTCCTACTTCAAAGTAATTTATTTCGAAAAAAATAAAACAAATAACAGAAGAATTTCAAAATAAATTTAAATTTTTCTCAACAGTGTATCTGTGTGTGTGTGTGTGTGTGTGTGTGTGTGTTGAATTTGGATTTTTAATTCACTTTTTCCTGATTCCACCTGCTCCAAATATTCTTTCTCTTACCAGTTCCCAAGAGATAACCTGATGACAGTGATGACAGTTTACTATTCTGTAAACCAAGTCAACCATTATAAAATTCTAGCAGTTGCAAATAGACAAGCCTGAGCTAATTCACAAGACTGAAATCTCCATACTTTCCCAAATGCTTGTAACAAGAGGAGAGTACTCATGGAAGTCCATTATGTTGTGATGGGTAATGTCCCACTAATTGATGACATCTTATTGGAGTCGTGAACGTTATTATCATCAGTAGCACTAAGCCATGACATTACAACTTGTTGTACTTGATTTCCACAACAGTATTATAAAATGGATACTACTACTATCTCCACTTTGCAAATTTTTAAAAAAGACAAAGACTGGCAATTTAATTATCTTATCTAATACTACATAACCTGAGACTCAAAACCAAGTTACCTAGCCTTGAATTTTACTCACTATGAAATCTTACCTCTTTATAATATAGACATTTCTGGCACACCATCAAGTTGTCCTCTTTATTCTAGCACATGCCGACTTCTCTTTTCTTAAGAAGACAGTACTTGGGGCAGAGATGGCTCAACAGTTAAGAGCACTGGCTGCTCTTGCAGAGGACTGGGGTTCAGTTCCCAGCACCCACATGGTGGCTAACAACCATCTGTAACTCTAGTTCCAGGGGATTCAACACCCTCTTCTAATCTCTGGGGGTACTGTAAGACATGAGTGCACTTACACACACATGCAAGCAATACATTCATACACATAAAATAAAATTAAATAAATAATTAAATAAATAAAATATAAAAGAGTGTAAATTGGAAAATCTCTTCTAAAAGACTGTTGGGCAATACCTATCAAAAGCCTTCAAACATATATGCTATTTGATCAATGAGCTCTTGTGAATTTGTCCACGGAATTTTGGGCAATTATCAAATAACTATATTTGAGGATGTTTTCAAAAGTAAATAAAAATAAAACCAAAAAAAAAGGGCTGGATATGTCAGTGGCACAATGTACCAGCATGTACAAGAGCCCAGGGTTCAACCTCCAGGACTGCCAAAAAAATTGTGAAACTCTAGCACTATGTTATTGATTATAAATTATTAAATAGGGACAAATAGAAAGTGTTAGATAATGACTATACTTTATTGACATGAAAGTCTACAGATAAGTTACAGTACAAAAAAAAATCTCATGTGGTGTGTGTGCATATGTGTGAGCAAAATTCTTGAAAGTTTAAAATTTTAGTGATGACTGTTGTTGAGGAATTAATCAATATTGTTTTTAATTTAAAAAATTTATTAGCATTGCATTATTTAATAAGTAACATGATTACATTGAAAGACTAGGTATAGATGGAGACTTTGGAAAGAGAGTGAGTAGAAAACTCACAGTATAGGAGCAGTGACAAATTTTGCATTGTTGTTGAAGGTTGGTAGTACAGTTTAGTCAGAAAACAATATTAAAAATTATAGTAAACA